AAACCGATTAGGAAAGGCCTATTAGCCAAAACGGCTATCATATTCGGAATCAGCATGATCGATTACCTATAAGCTACCGCATTTCGTTAGAAAAGCGATTTGACAGTTGGATATGTTCCCTCGTGAGCCTTTTCGACCGGATTTTTACGACCATAAAACGAGGCAGACAGAAATCGATTTGCTGACGTATCAATAGTTTAATAAGCAACATACCGAGGGGATGTTAGCAAAATAAGAGTGAAATGTGATTATTATTAAATATGGCGCACAGGAATGAATAAAATAAAGCAATTCGATCGATCGAACAAACAACAACACTGGATATAGTATAGAGCGGATGCTGAAAATGTAGTGTTCAAAGATATTTTTTTTTGGTGATTAAAAGTACATTTACTCTATATTAAATATTCTCAACGGATGTAATATTACTAGATCACATAATTCTTTCTCTAATTGTTTAGTGACATAATCTTACACTTGTATGTACACTGGATAATTTGCATATATAATTTAACTTAGAATGTTTGGCGCTAAGCCATATTTTCTACTCCTATATGAATTAATATAATACATTTAAACGCATTTTAGATATCGTTCGAATCACAATATCGTATGGACTTAAGTGCACATATACGTGACATATGGATCGCTGTTGGCGTTTTAAGTGGTCTCGGTTTGCTCCTAGCATTTGCACAGGCATGGGCCTGGCAAAGCCGATCAGGAAAAGAAATAATTGATTTACAAGTAAGAATAACTCCAAAGGTATAATTAGACTCTTTACTATAAGATTCAGATTAAATTTTTTGATCATAAAATTGAAATATTCAGACTGTCGATAAGAAATTCTTGGTGTTTTAGAACTAAAAGCATATTCAAAAGCAGAAAAATATTAGCAAACTTGTTTAACAAACATATACTTAATATTTTTAAAAGATTTTTTTCTCAGAACGTTAGTTTACACTTCAAAGACAGTAAAAGTATCGACTTTGAAAATCGAATAACTTTCTCATTTCAGTCGATATTAACATTTGTTCTATATCTATGCGGTATACTTGGTGCCGTATTTTTTATCGTCATGGCCGGTGTGTCATTATGGTGGCTAATATTCTATAAAGTAGGTAGAGTACTGTGAGATAAAAAGAGTCAGTGCACGAAATTTTCTTCGTAATTTCACTATTTCTCATCCATTTTTAATTGAACAAATTCGATATTAACTACGTTGGTAGAGACGGTAATTATGTACACACTAGTGCAAAAAATTGATGT